CTCGAGTGAGATTTGGGGTAGTTATAATTTTTGGATAGTATAATTTTAAGAGTGGTGATAATTAGAGGTAGACGAGAGGTGTGTTAAGAGCAAGCCAAAAATGTGAGACAATTATATGTGATATAATGATAAGACATTGTAAAAAACTTTGTAAGTTGTGCAATAAAAACCTGATTATATATATATAATATTACAATATTAATTATTATATATAATATTATTTAAATAAATATAAAAAATAAATACATTTAAATTTGACTATTAAGTTATTTATAATTATTACTATATATGGATTATATTTAAATTTAAAAATAAATATTATATATTTATTATATTTCGATTCATATTTGATCTATCACGATTAGAACAATTTGTTCTAATTAATTTGTTATTCCATCGATAATATTAAATTATACCAACAATTGATTACAATAAAATTGCGAATTGAAAATATTCGATCGACAAATAATACACGCACAAAAAATACCATCTTTCCTCTAATCGCATATAATTATATTTCTCCACGAGAGAAACGAATAGTCATTTAATCGTATTATTTCATTTCGAAAAGAAATATTAAAAAAAAAAAAAAAAAACAGAGAGTCATAGCATATTGAATTAATAATGAAAATGACAAAAGGACGTATACCCAACAATGGATGATTTAACATAAATCCTTTGGATTATAAATAGAAAAAAAAAAGGAAATTAGAATTACTAGACGAACGTACACAATCGTTCAAAAGTTTGTAAAATCAAATTGAAAATAAAATAACTTCGATAAAAATCAATTCTAATATTTTTTTTTTTAAGTACGGGGGGTGGAGAGAAATAATTTTATCGTATAGTAAATTAATTTACGAATACAATAATTGTTATTATAATATAAAAATTAATACAAATGAGAATGAACGTGTTTAAGGTTTGATATTAAAAAAAAAAACAACAAATTTTTGAATTATTCTGTACAATAGTTAAGAGCTTTGAGACAAACAGAATAAGACGGGTGATGGGGAAGCGGGGGGGGGGGAAGGACGAGGATCTTGAATGAACACACACGCGAAAGATTTCTTTCTGACATTTCCATACAATAGCGTGGAAAAAGAGCTCAAGAGTTGCGATATATCCGGTGAGATGGTCCGCGAATGATAACGGGTTGTTCGTCAGGATCAACGCAACATAACACAACACAAACACAAACAGAGAAAATAACACAACTGATTTCGAAGGATGTCGAAAGAGAATCCTAAGAAGAATTTTTTTATTTACAATAAACTTACGCTCACCTACCGTTATTCGATTAAAAAAAAGGTTTCTTTTTTTTTTTACACATCTCAAGGACAATGATTGTAGATAAGATACAACGGTTGTGATGATTTATGGTAGTGTAGGTGTGAAACAGTAATATTTTTGATAATTGATTTCTTTTTTATTTTGTTTTGATTAAATTTTGAATTGATGTGAGGATTAATTGTTCGAGAGAACAATTCTGTATAATATCGAATGAAATTTTGTATTCTAATGTTAATATATATATGTGTGTTACGTGTGAAAGTAATATTTTAGTAATCGGTGGTTTAATTTATTTTTTTTTCCTTTTGTTTTGTCAATTAGATTTTAAAACGATGTGTAGATTAATTGATCGAGAACAATTCTGTATAATATCGAATGAAATTTTGTATTCTAATTTAAATATATATATGTGTGTGTACGTGTGTGAAAGTAATATTTTAGTAATCGATTGTTTTAATTTATTTTTTTTTCCTTTTGTTTTGTTGATTAGATTTTAAAACGATGTGCGGATTAATTGTTCGAATAAATTTCTCTACAATATCAAATTAAATTRAWTATTCTAATTTTTAAAACAAAAAATTTAATAATATTATAGTAATATTTTGATATTAATTAAATTTAAATAAATATAGTAATATTTTAGTAATCGATTGTTTCAATTTATTGTTTTTTCTTTTGTTATATTGATTAGATTTTAAATCGATTTGCGGATTAATTGTTCGAATAAATTTCTCTACAATATCAAATTAAATTRAWTATTCTAATTTTTAAAACAAAAAATTTAATAATATTATAGTAATATTTTGATATTAATTAAATTTAAATAAATATAGTAGTAATATTTTGATATACTATATAATTTAATAAAATTAATAGTAATATTTTGATATACTATATAATTTAAGTAAATATAGTAATATTTTGATAATCGATTTTTTAAAGTTTATTCTTTTGTTTTGTTTCAATTAAAGAATTTGAAATGATGTGCAGATTAATTGTTCGAAATTTCATTTTAGTTTATAAATTTTGTTCTAATTTAAAAAAAAGATACATATACATGGATTGTTTATTTTGAAAGTGATGTATAAGTCTATTATATTTTTTTTATATGAAATATCACATAATTTGTGATTAATTTACTGTAAACTTTTTATTTCTAACTACTCAATATTTAATATCTTAAAAACTGTTAATGTTTTGTTCTAATCAAAATTGGCCAATAAAATAAATTACATAGCGATTGATTATGAAAAAACTAAAGTGTAAGTATTACGTGGTTAAAATCAATTAAATTCAGTTAATAAATGAATGGGATACAAGAGAAAAATCTTTAAACGAGATTTCAAATTACATTTCCATGAATATATTAATATAATAAACGTTCAAAATAAAAGATGCTATTACTATTTTATTTCTTCTTATTACTTATAAAAAAAAAATTGGTATTATACAAAAAATATATTTGTAAATGTCATTTAATATTACATAATTGAAATTAAATGATTCTTATCTACAAAAAAAAGTAAATATATATTATTTTCATTAAATTCTCGTAAAAGAAAATTTATATAATCAAATTACATATCTTGTATGTGTGTGCGTGTGTGTGTGATACATATAATTAATTGTTATTTTTAAATTGATTAATATGCTAACTTTAAATTTTATTCGAAACAACAACAATCAAACAAAAGGTTTGCACCACTTTTATTATTTTCGTATTTTTTTTTTTCTTTTTTGTTGAAAGATTGTATTTTACATACGTGAACAATATACTTTGGTTTTATTTGAACAGAGAGAGAGAGAGAGAGAGAGAGAGAGAGAGACACATGTGTCGTAGTAAAGTTATTTGCGACAGAAAGTGGAGCAACGCTTTCCAAGTTCAGAGGATCTCGCACGGTCGAATCGTTTCGCGTGATATTATAAAGAAAGAAGAAACCGATTTCGATCCAATCTTGGAAAATTTCTATCTCGAATCATTAGGAAAAAAGAAAAACACAAATATCCCTTTCTATTAATACAAGATCCTATTCTATTCCTAGAAACGTAATTAAACTAGAAAGGAATTCAAATTGTTTAACAAGTGAAAAGGAAATTTATTCACATTAGTTCGTTTAATTTTTTTTTTTTGTGTATTTTTTTTTTTTTATCTATTAGTATAAATTATATCCTTGAGAAATAAAATATTAATAATTTTAACACTTTAAATCTACCTATCATTTAAATGTTGAGTGTGTTCCTATCATTTAAATAGAAAAAAAATACCGAACGAATGTATTTGTTTTTCGTAAGAAAAACAAAAAAAAGAATACTGATCAATTTTGTACTCGTGTTTAACGATAGTTTGAAATTATTAACTTACGGTGTTTTTTTTATACGATTCGCGACTAATTTAAAATACAATTATTTATTTATCATTGTTAATTGTTTATTCGTTCTTTTTTTGTTTTTTTTTTTTTCATAAAGATGTTTATGAAATAATTTGTGATATATAGTATCGTATTAAAATTGAGATAATTTCATAGTTCTTTTTTGTTATTTAAAAATTAAATAACCAATACTAAACCTTAACACTAAACTTATCGACAGTTCATGTATACCTATTCATATTGTTTGAAAAAAAAAAAGAACAACACGTATGTTAATATAGAAGGAGACTTTAACCAATTGGATATCGAACCAAATATTTTCCTTTTATTTATGAATAAATAATGTACCTTTTTATGCATTTTAACCACATGTTTTGTAAAAATTACAGAACACGTGTTATTTGACCATACGTGGTAGGTTTAATATTAAATCACAGTTGTATAATAAATTATAAAATTCATTGCAAAAAAAATTATATATATGTCTTAATAAAAAATTAGATTTTAACCAATTGGATATTACAAAAATGCTTTCCTTATATTTATAAAAAAATAATATTTATTTTATGCGTTTAAACCACATAAACCACATGTTTTGTACAAATTATAGAACACGTGTTATTTAACCACACGTGATAGGTTTAATATGAAATCACAGTTGTATAATAAATTATTAACCCTTTGCACTCCGCCCGATTTTGGACGTTGGCTATCAGCTACTCAGCGCCACTTTACAGGAGAAACAAACATTTACAAACCCTCGTATAACTTATTATAATATTAGAACTAATTAACGTATTATAATGATATTGGACTGATATCAATTGGCTGAGATCGAGAAATGTTTATTTTAAAAAAAATCAATATTTTATTGTTTATAATTTTGCAGAGTATAATACATCTTAAAAAACTCCCCAATATGCATTGCGGGCTGGTTGGTGCATGTTTGACAACAATAATTTGTTTGTCGCCTGCCACCAGGTGTTTTCCTGTTAGAACATACTATACAGTCTCGTTTTCTTCGTCCCACATCTGGAAGATGTAATTTATTATCTAATCTGTTGTCCGCAGAAGATGTGGATGGGCGCGTTCTTGACATATGAAAATCGCCTTTCAATTGGTCAATTAGTGTTTTGACAAATTTGTAGTGTGTCATTGGCGTTTCATTAGTTGTTTCTTTTGAGATGCAATATAAGATGTATGAATTTATGACACACATTTCCAACCCCAAAAAAAATAGTTTCCTCCACCATTTCAACGATTTACGGAGGAAACAATACGTCGAAGCGTATTGATCCGCACGATCCACACCACCCATATTTGCCGTATATTCTAAAACCATATCCGGCTTTTTCACTATTACGACATTACCACCGCGTAATGTTCTGTGGGTAGATTGTACTTGAGTGCTATAATAATTCGTGAGCATGGTAATGATTCTTTTATCTTTCCACGCAAGAAGCGTGGTATTATTTTTCCTGTATGCGACTGTTATATTTATTGAAAATTTGGGTTTTTTTGTTTGTGGCGGTACGCCTTTTCTATTGATTTTTATAGTGCCAGTAAGATGACAATTCATCTTTCGCAGTTCTTCCGCTAAAAGGATGCTGGTATAGTACCTGTCGGTGAACATGTGGTACCCTTTTGCAGCAGGAACTCTCTCTAATAATTTCTGGAATAAATGTATTGGAATCCTTGTGCTTACTGGAAGATCCGATCGGGATATATCATCTGAAGTTATGCTGCCGTAATATGGAAGTATTGTGAACAAATATCCTGTTTTTGAGTCCGCCAGCGCATATATGCGTATACCCCACTTTGTTGGCTTGTTCGGATTATAGGTGATGAATGCTATTCTGCCTTTGAATTTTACAATTGATTCATCCAAAGCGACTGCTTTATACGGTATGAAATATTGTCTGAATTTTCCATCTATATATTCTAAATAGTTGCTGACTTTTTGAATACGCGTTCTTATCGTTGCACTTCCTTGCGTTGGTTTCTTCAAATGTAACATCAAAAATATCTGCTTAAATCTCGACCTGGTAAATGTTTCCGGAAAAAAAGGGATTCTACTATTGTCAGCAGTTGACCAGTATTCTTGGATGTTGGGGAGCTGCATCAATCCCATATTCAGGATGACGGCAATGAAGGCTAAAAATTCTTCTTTGGTGATATCGTACCACTTGTGCCAAGTTGATTTTCGTGAAAGCTGTTTCTTTGCAATTTCTTCTTTGGCATGATTGTTCGTTTCTTTTATAAAGCTGTCTACTAATTCTCCAGTAATATATAGTCTAAAGTAGTCTATGGGCTCTTTTGTGTTAGTTGGTATCTGTGGTCCGGCTGTTTCTTCATGTAGATCAAAATTTATTGTGGCTGGGGGAACGCCCGATTCAGTAATATCCTCCCACTCTTCACCTGACGATACGTTGTCCTGTTGCCGTGTGTTTTTTTCTGCCTCACTTTCATCGCTGTCGCTATTTATACGAACTCTTCGTCGCCTTCTTCGTGGAAGGATATCACTACCACTGCTTTCATTTTCTTCTACCGTTAGTCTTTCTAATATTTCGGTATATAAGTCTATCTGGAGGTCATCTTCACTACTATTGGTCTCTAGAGACTCACTCGTGGTTGGACGCTTTGCCATTGTTCTAATAAAAAATATGAATAAATACATGGGTTGAAAATTTCTTATTGTTCTTACTAATTCACAAGATGATATTTACCAAAATAGCTTTCACCAAACAATTTTTCACTAAGAAAGAATCACTTTTTCGATTTTCACACTCGTTACTCTTTGTCTACTGCTCAAAGCTTCAAACCAGACTGAGCTCGGCTTTGAAAATCTTTTCCTCCAGATTTAGACTTGTTTATTTATAAATATAAATCACACTATACAGTGCATGCTATCTTCGCATACCGACCTTTCTTCTACCTGCTCCCCTTATCGCTCTTCTCAAGTGGTTTCGAAAAGTGCTCGGACCGTCGTGAGCGCGCGTCTCATGTTCTTGACTAACACAAAACCCGCCGACATTTCTTGTATATATCGGTTAGTAATTTTACGATATTCTGATTCGATTGCTTGGGCCATTTCAAGAGAAAACTTCAGGGAAAGATGTATGTCTCAAAAAGTTGCGCGGAAATAACTCAATACGCCGTAATCACTAACAAACTTGAATGTCCCCTGAGAGGGGACATCCGAGTGATATGCTAGAATTACGATGTCCCCTGAGAGGGGACAGCGGAGTGCAAAGGGTTAAATTCATTAAGAAAAAAATGTATATATATGTCTTAATATAGAATGAGATTTGAACCAAATAGAATGAGATTTTAACTAATTGGATATCACAAAAATGCTTTCCTTTTATTTATAAATAAATAATATAAATTTCATATACTTTTATTAAACACCACATTTTGTACAAAATACAAAACACGTGTCATTTGACCACACTTGTTAGGTTTAATATTAAATCACAGTTGTGTATAATGAATTATAAAATTCATTGAAAACAAAATTATATATATGTCTTAATGTAGAATTAGATTTTAACCAATTGGATATTACAAAAATGCTTTCCTTATATTTATAAAAAAATAATATATATTTTATGCGTTTTTTAACCACATGAACCACATATCTTGAACAAATTATAGAACACGTGTTATTTGACCGCACGTGTTAGGTTTAATATTAAATCACAGTTGTATAATAAATTATCAAATTCATTAAAAAAAAAAAAAAATATATATATATCTTAATATAGAATGAGATTTTCACTGATTAGATATCACAAAAACTTTTTATTTATAAATAAATAATATATATTTCATGTATTTTCATTAAACACCACATTTTGTACAAATTACAAAAAACGTGTCATTTGATTACACGTAATATCAAATCTATCCTAACATTATTTATTATAAATTTTTTTTTTAAATTACTATTATCATCATTATTAATATTAAATCATTCGTAATATTATATCTCACAGTTGTATAATTTCAATCGAATTTATTGAAAAGAAAAAAAAAAAAAGAAAAAAACAAACAAACATACACGGTATCAGTTCGATTAATCGTCTAATCAAATCGTACGAAAGAAAGAAAGAAAAAAAAACAGATTAGCAAAGTAAAGGTTGAATTTCTACGGAAAGCTGAAATTTTGAACGACGAGCCAAAGCGGATGGGGTTTCGCATGGTCGCTCAGCCTGAACCGTCCACCGACTGAATACTATAGTGACGTCACCCGATACGGTCACTGCCTGAATTATTCAGTATTTCTTCTACGTTTCCGAACGCAACTAACCGCACGAAAACTAGGCAAGAAAGCTCTCTCTCCCCTTTGGACAATGTCTTCAAACAATATTATTCGGTCTAATGTCAAAGAAAATTTCAATAAATTTTTAATCCAATTTTTATTTTATTCTACAAATTTTAAGCTTAATCGATCGTTAGTTATCTTTATCAGGTGACAATGTTACTTTGTCATCTGCTTTCTTAAGTCACGTTCGAGGTGACTAGAAATTTAATTATTAAATAATTATTTAATAATTAATAATATTATGTTATTACTTGTAATACTCTTCTTTCGAAAAAAAATAAATAA